AAACCAAACAAACAAACAAATAAGCAAGCAAACAAACAAATCACGTTTTCAAAAAAAGATCTTTTACCTCTCCCACTAGGAGCGTTGACAGCCGAGAGGTAGGACGTCTTTCTAGCGGGTCGTGACGACCTCCCGGCCTCCATCTCCAGCTGGGCGGACGGGAGCAGTGGGGTCCCATCGGCGGAGAACACGCCGCTGTCGGTGACGCTGCTGCTGGTGGTCACGGCGACCGCCTCCGCCTGGTGGCCCGGTCCGTCCAGCATGTCGGTGCTGCTGTGGTAGCTCTTGATCCACACGCCCGAGTCGGCCAGCCCCCCGGTGGAACCGGCCTCGCTGCTGCCCGCCCCACTGGCCGTGCTGGCGCTGCAGCTGCTGGGCGAGGGCGAGTGGAAGAAGCCCTCCTTAGTTACTTTGAACCCGACAGAGGACGAGCTCGTCTTCCCCAAAGGAGGCGCTGTTTTGCTGTCAGTCTTGAGGGCTGCGAATTTGGCTTGGTCTGCTGCATTGGCGCTGTGTCTCTTGCTGCTGCCTTCGCCGGGGTAAACGGGGACGATCTCGACGATAGGGGAAGGCTGGGTGTTGCTGTTGCCAGGGGAGACGTAGATGCGGATGGGGGCGGGGTCAGAGGTCGCGGCCGTTTGATGGGGGCTGCTGCTACCATATCGCTCTGAGGAGATCTTTCTCACCTGAAGATGAGCGGAGTCGAACTGGGGTGAAGAGAAGAACAGGAATAAAGTGACAGATTTCTGGTGTGACGGCAAACAATGGCGATGATGAATTTATTTTCAGTATTCAATTAGCAACACAATGACGTAGCAATGACACTAGTGCTATATAACCAAAACATCAGACATTGAACATGTTTTAAAAACACACATCCTTTTGAGCTGTAGATCTAGGATAAAACGAGTTGACAAAACTGTTAAGTTGTCAAAATGTGTGAGGACAATAGCGTAGACACTTTAAAAAGAACAAGAAAAAGAGCTGACCACACCAGGCGCACCCGTCAAATACATAAACTTGCATTGTGCAGCATATTGAAAAGATAGCAAAAATGCAGCCCCGCCCCCCCCCCCCTCTATATATATATATGTGCAAAGAACGCACAGGAATGCATTTTGTTTAAGTAACAGTTTTACGGTACTTTCAACACAATTATGTCACATTAGAGCCGAAGATTAGAGATGCTAAAAGAAAATAACAAGCACAAAAAAGAAGAGGGGGGGGGGGGAGGACAATATATGTTTGAAAGGAAAGTAAGAGCAAACCACACCAGAGTACATGTACTCGCTAACCACCCACACACAATTACAATTCAACCGAGCCGTGAGGACAACGAGAGGACGGGCGCAATCACTGGGTCGTTTTGGGTGGTCATTGAATTGCTTTTTATAGCTCTAAACTAGGAAACAGCCATCTTTTGTTTTATTAGAAGTTTACGGCACTTGCAAAACAAGAAAGGCACAAAGTGCCGATAGGTTAGAGGTGTGACAAGACAGTGACAAACACAAAAAAGAAGGAGGAGAGACAAAGATGATGGACAGTTGATAGGAAAGAAGGAGTGAACCACACCAGAGCACTCGGCCAACCAACCAAAATAGCCACCTCCTTGTAATTGTAAATTCTTATTGCCCCCATCGCCACGTTCTAGATAATATTAGAAGGCGGTTTGAATTCTGCCTGCAAGGGTCTACATAGGCAAGTGGGGAAACATTATACCAGTAGACAGACGGGAGATACCCGAGAATTGAACCCACGTCTTCCGTGAGCAAGTGCAAATAGCCAAATGATAACACCACAGATGCGGGTGGAAACACCAAGACGATGGCAAGGATGCGCGGGGAAAAAATACAAGAACGAGGACAAAACCACAAGGAGTTTTGAAAAGCACTTCGGATTTTCCACAGAACAGCAAAGACAGCGCACCCACAAACTGTGTCAAACGTCCAACCGTTTAGACAGGTCTGAATGTAAAAGAAAATCCTGACAATTTTTCACTCACATTCCTGACGAGTTAGTCATCTCAGAAATTAAAAGGAAAATTACATGTTTTAAAACCAACTACAGGGCGATCTAAAAAAAACAACCGTGTACAACTTTTTTTTTCTGAATATCTTGCACAAAATTTGTGCTAGAATGTTTTAATTCGGAACAGATACAATTAATTCAAAATGAATTTGTTTGACATAAAATTCACAAAGAAGAAACTTATTTTCGAAGACGGAAACGGCTTTTATAAAAAACCACCTATAAATGCAAAATGGAATAATATAAAATATCTCGTAAGGAAAGTCATGAAATGATTGGTTTGTTTTTTCCTTTCATTTTTTAAATATAATCTTTCCATCCATGTAACCTTTAAACAATATTTCTTTTCTCCTACAGAGAATTCCGAGAACCAGTGGTCTATAATATGTCCTCTTTTGGACTCGACACATTTTAACGCGTCGCTTCTAATGCTCAGTGGTGGCCAAACACATGACAAGGATCCACTCGACCATGAGTACTCAAAGCTACACACACTGCACACCCTACAGTATGGAGCTGTTGCTAGAGACGATGGGGTGGGTGGGGGGAGGGTAGGTTGCCCAAATAGACAGCATTCTGGAGTTGATATAACCTGAAAGGTGAATATGGGCTTTGCCAAGGAACCAAATGTCATAGAGGAAATGTTCGCGCCTTTTAAGACGATCTAGGAATTATGAACACGTTGCTATCCTCTGACAGCTTCGCGAACGGGAAATTGGTACGGTCGAAGATGAAGATCTGCCTTGAGAATGCGGACCGTTGAGACATAGGAAAGTAAATGCTGCAGACATCGTCATGGGGCTCATCTACTGAATTCTGCTCCCCGGTGACGTTTAAAGGGATGGGAACGGTGTGTGTGTGACCTTAAGTGGTTGTTTTGTCTGGGAATTTTTAGTTGATTCTCTACAGATCCTAACTGATGGACCAATTTCACCCTTGACATCAAAGAAGGCCTTCAGTGCACTTTAACAGTACTTCAGTACCTTGTGTGAAACTTACGAAATGAGTTGGTAGTGAGGAAATGTTTAATACAAAAAGTTCTCTGATCTTTACTAATCTTAACCATGATCTCAGCAGGCAAAGGAAACTTGAGAAAATCTATCTGCAAACTTCTGTTGGCCTTTTAGGCTTCTGTAATTTGCAATATGGCGCAATCATTGGGGGTTTTTAGTGGTAGGCCTAGTGTGAACTAGTGCGTCATGCTGCAAAAATGGGGACATAGCTGAAAATCGATTGCCTTTTACGCGCTTTTTTACGCAAAACTATTATGTGGATTTATCTAAAAAGAAAATCAGACAAATTCCTTTTGACTTCCAAATGTTGTGTACACCTTTGAAACACAAAACTCCAGTGTGGAGGAAAATATTAAGAATAAAAGTTGTACAGGGTTGTTTTTTTCATCACCCTGTATTTACCGTCTCCGAAAGGAAAAATCAATCAGTTTTTCACACCTTCAACCATTTCGACCTCTCAATAAAACAAGAAAGAAATAAGAAAATCACCCTACCTCACATCCGTGACCATTTAAATTTCGATGTCTTCAAATAAAT